TTTTTTTTTTTTTTTTTTTAACGAGAAAAGATTTTTTTATTACGAGAAAAAGATTTTTTTTGTTTTTTTTTATAAAAAAACTAAAAGAATTTCGTTAATATCGATATTGTATAGATTGTATAGATAATGAAAAAAAGAAAAAGAAAAGAGACGAGAGAGAGAAAAAAAAAAAAAGAAAAGAAAAAGGAAAAACCGTTAAAACAAAAAGTAAAAAAAAACTTTAAAGTATAACACCTCCTTTATATAAATATATCCTTTTGCACGACACACTTTGTTAGTAAATCTATTTAGATAAATCAATAACCCAACATTCATATTACGCCAATTTAGGAGATCATTGTATAAACTATTATAACCACTATTATAAACTATATAAACATATTATTATTATAAAATTACAATAAAAAATACAATAAAAAATACAATAAATTCTTTACAATAAACAAACAAAAATTTTTTTTTTTTTTCGATTTGCAAATTATTTGTCACATAAATGCATTCTATAAATAAAAAATAATAAAATACGGAATTTTGAATAAGGGGGTGATAAATAATATGATGATACATAAACCTAATCACGATGTTGTATAACATGTGGCGTCATTTTTTTAATTTATCCATAAATGCGTTATTCTGAAACACCCTTTTTTTTTATTATTGAAAAGCTGCGCCAAGTTCCCGGAATCTAATTTTGGAAATCCAGTTAGGAGAACAGTTTAAATTCTTTTATTCTTCTTATTTAGTGTTATTGTTAAAAAATTTATAATGCTGAAATTTTTTGGTCATTCAATGAATTAAAAACTCCCACTTTTAAATTTATTCCCTAGAAACAATTTTATTTTTCCTTTTTTTTTTTTAATTAAACCAATTTTGGATATATTAGAAGAAAATCAGGTTATTCGAATTTCAAATCTTTTTTAAATCTTTTTCCTCTTGACAATCCAAAAATTCATTCAATCAATTGATTGTCAATGTAAAAAAAAAAGGTGTGAGAAAAAATTAAAATATTTTTTATTTTATTTTTCTTTTTTCATTATGTCTTTTTTTGGAATGAAATAAATATTTTTGGTAACGAACCTTTTTTTTTCGCTTTACATTGTTTAAAAAAACTTTCTTTCTATTACGTTCGCGATTTAAAAATTTTTGTTCTCATTCATATGATAAATACTTAATATGGTTTGATGTTGTGAAACTCCGAAAATTGGGGGAAAAAGTAAATAATTAATATATTAAGGTTTTTGATTTAACTTTAACCGTGTGACCCTTTTTTTTTATTTTATGCCAGACAAAATTTTTATAGTAATAAAAAAAAAAAAAAAA